GCGAGATCCTTCTCCAACTTCTCGCGACGAAGGTCGGCCTGGGTCGTCTAGAGCCTCCGACGGCAAACTGCCGAATGCAATTCAAATCCCGCGCTGCATTTCCTGCGCTTGTCGGTCGGTCCACCAGGGTCAATCGCGCGATCCGCGATGCACGCGCTGCGTCCGACAAGTCCTGCACGCCCGCGAGGGGCGTGCTTCCACGGCGCGACCCTAGTGTTCTGGATGATCTCAGGCTGCCGCGTCATCCTCCGCGCGGCCCTGACCTTCTGCGCGCCGCGCTCTGGGCCCCTGGGTCGATCACGAGGTGGGCATTGTCCAATGCGTTCTTGCCGACCCAGATGCCCTTCGCGAAGCGGTCTTCCGGCGCGCCGCGCCCCGCAACAACTCTGGCTGCGACACGGCGCCACACCTGCTCGCCCATTTCCGCAACCTCGCCGCTGTACTGCTTGCCACGCGGCATCTGGCATGAAGAGCGGCCATGGCTCTTTGGCTGAAGTCTGGCGAACATCCAACCTGCGCAACCAAGGCGCGATCGGATCCGCAATCTGGAGGTCTCAGCAAACCCGCTGCCAGCTCATGGACACCTGCGGCGTAGCCAGCGCTCTGCATTGGAGAGCGCGGCAGTCCCCGCGCCACAGTTGCAGGAGACCTGCGATCTCGAACTGCAGCGGCTCTGTCTGGAGCACAACAGCAGCGTGACCCCTGGCCCCCAGCGCGTCTAGCAAGGACACATTGTTGTTGTCCAGCGCCTTGTTTGCGCATGGCGTCGTCTGCGCCGGGATCTCGCAATCGATCGCGTTCAAAACTGAGATCGCCTGGTCTAGATCTGCCTAAGTCACCAGCGGCCTCTCTCGGAAGCTGAAGCAGCCTCCTGCCATCTTATACTTGGCCGCCCGTCGGTCGGTTCCCGCGTGGAAAATGTCGATGATCACCACCTTCGGCGCTTGTTTTTCGCCCGCTGGACCCCACGCGCAGCGCGAGCCATCGCCTGCTCTAGCTTCCACGCGCAGTGGGCGCCATGGGCGAACAGGTAGGTGGCGCCCTTCGTGCGCGGCCCTCCCCGCGGCACTAGGCTGGCAGGGTGGCTCGAGCACCTTCGTCGGCACTTCCGTAATTTCGTTTGCCACTGGGCCCAAAACCCTTGGCAGAGCTCAAGCTTCTTGCTCAGCTGGCACCTTCCTCGGCAGCGTCTTCTTCGCCGATGCCGCCAATGAGGCGTCTGTATGGGTCTTGCCGTCGACGATGTGGTTATATTCTAGAGGCACGATCTCTGCTCCACCAAGCGGCCCGATGGTGCCGTTGATGATCCAGTGACCTGCAGGGCTGCGGAGGGCGCTCTCGTCTGGCTGCACTACCGCGTCGACGGCAACTACGTGGCACTCCACGTCGGCAACTGTTGCACCTACTTGGATGACCTCGATCGTCAGGATAGGCGAAGCTCCGCGCGGCCGCGCCTCTCGATCCCCTCGCCCCCGACGCCCTTTAAGTCGACGTTTTTGCCCCCAGTCGGCGAAAAGCTGCGCTTGGTCGTCTGCTTCTTCAGCGCTGCGCTGATCTGCGCGCCTGAGTCGAACGCGATGACATTCCGAAATGGGGCCGACCGCAGTCGGTCATCCTCTGGCGCCTGCCACGGCAGACCGCAGATCTCGGGCCGCGCGGGGTCGCCCGCAACTGGCCCGCAGCAGCTGCGCAGCGCGCCCGTCGCCATCGAACTTCCCGCGCCTGTGCTCGTTGAGACAGTGCTCCGCGCATGTCTCGCAGAAGCCCAACTTCCAATCATCGCGGGGCCACCTCTCGCCCTCGAAGACCTTCCTGCGCGACCTGCATCTGCGCCTGGCGCAGGAGGGCACGGTGCATTCCCCGTCGACCGTGGGTTCTGACCTTGCGACCTGCACCCTCAGAGCTCGACGTAGTCCCTCGGGCTCTTTTATAGCCGCTACCGCGACCTTCTTCCTCTCTGCGCCCTGCTATTTTAGTTGCTGTTTCTTGTTCTCGTTTAGTTGCTGTTTCTTGTTCTCGTTGGCTGCGTTGGCGGCTGCGTTCTTTTCATCGGACATCCGTCTGCGGCAGTTGGCGCTGCGGTGGCCACTCTCGTGGCAGTCATTGCAGTCTATGTCGGCGTCTGGGTTCGGCGACTTGTCCTTCCCTTTGCCATCCTTGCCTTTTCCTCGACCTCTCCACGGCTTCTTCCCGCCGTCCAATCCGGCTATGTCCACCAGGTCGTCGTGAAACGCCTGCTCCGCTTTCAGGGCTGATGCGACTCCGCACCCCAGGAGCTCGCGCGTGTTCAGCCCGCTGCTATTCCGAAATGCGCGCCTCTGTAACCCCATCGCGACCCCTATGCGCCGGGGCCAGGATGCCTCTGATCAGGTCCGGGACGGGCTCGCCCGACATCTTCTGGCGCCTCGCCAGATCCTCGTCGAGTTTGCTGACGCCCACCACTGCGTCGTCTTGAGCCTCGAACTTCGCGCCCACGTCGCGAGCATCCTGCCAGCTTCCTTGTGGTTGTGCTCCTTCTGAGGCTTCCTCCAGCTCTCGGCGCCTTCCCCTACGGCGCAGCTCCTCGCGACCAGCTCGCCCACCGAGCCCTCTGGCACCACCGGGGCCCGGGTTAATTACATCTGCGTGCTGAGCTCGTCTTCTTGGGCGTGTAGGTTCACGTTGTTTGCGTCCTGCGCTTCGTCCTCGGCTTTCTCCAAGAGTGGCCGATGCCTTCTGTTCTGAGCGATCAGGTACGCTTACAAACGACTGGAAACTGAACGTCTTCCAGTGGCCAGCGGCTCCTCTGCCCGTCGAACGGCTTCACTTTGCGAGGGATCTCCGGGTCTATCACCTCACCGCGCGGTCCTCGTTTTCGGTCGGCCTGACCTTGGGAACATCCGCTCAGCTCGGCTGGAGATCCGTCTTCATCTGCTGACTCTTCATTGTCAGTCGCTACACATGTTCGACCAATGCTCGCGCTTGAGATTCCATCCTGCTCGCGGCGCTGGATGTCGAGCGCGAGCTGTCGTTTCGCCGCTGCTCGCTCTTCCTCCGCAAGCTAGACCGCGTCACCACGCTCGGCTAGCTTCCTCCAAGCGTCCCCGCGATCCTGTCGGCGGAATCGGTTGTCCGCGGCCTCACCTCCACGCCCGTTCCGCTTCTTTGGGCCAGCTTTCGGTTGGCCTGCCACTCGCTGCTTGGCTGACGGCGGACCCCCTTGCCTGGACAGCGCGGGCGCCGTCTTGCCTGTCCGCGGGGCAACCCGCTGGCCAGGCCTGCGTTGGGCCACGCTTTCGCAGGTGAAACGCGGGGTTCCCCGCTGCTCCGCGGCCCGCCGCCGCCCTTCCGCGGCCTCGGCCGCGGAGCCCGCGGCGCGCCGCAGCTGGGCCCCCCGCGGGCCCGCGAGGCTCCCAGAGCTCGCTGGGTGCGGTGCTGGCCCGCGAACCCCAAGCGAGCTCCGCTGCCGCGCGCGCGTCCCCCTACCCCAGATGTGGTGAGAGGGGCCGAGGGGGGCCGCTGATTTTCCCGAGCAACAAAGGGCTGCAGGATGTCGGGTCTCCGCTCGATCAGTATGCTCATATGTTGATATAAGCATGTGCGTGCGCGTGTGAAATTCCAAACCTCTTAACACTTACGCGGGCAACTTACGCGCCAATGCTGGCACAATCGAAGCCGGAATTCTCCGTCGCTCAGATGTAATTCGAGATGGCCTCCAATATGGCGCCGGTGTCGTGGCCGGTCCCCCCAAATATTAAATCGGGCCTGTCCCCCTACAGGCCGATTTTCGACGAAAATTCAAAACAAATACTGAAAATACACTGAAAATGCTCAAAATGGTTAAAAAATCGCCCCAGACTATGTCCTGTCTATTTTTGAATGTCCCCCCTGTAGAGGGGCAGGCCCGACTTAACCTTAAGAAAATCTGCCAAGAGGGGGGGATGAAGGCAAATCCGCTTAAAATCAGTCCCCGGACCCCTCCCAGGGTCCATCTGGAACAGTGCTTCACCTCGGCTCCATGTGTGCCTCTCCCGAGGTCCGAAAGCGGCCCCAGGAAATCTAAAAGAAGGCCAAACAACTTCTCAAGCTCAGTAAATACCCCTAAACGGTTCCCCCTTTCCAGCTGTTCGGAATCAGCGCTGGGCCACTTCAGATCCCAAGCCGGCTCCAGCCCAGAGCTTCCCCTCCCGCGAGAAAGGTATTGTGTTGGAGCACGTTTGTCAAATTTCCTCCTCGCTTGCATCTGCATGACCATGTCAATCATCGGCTCACGGTTTCGCACTCTGTGGCCGCAGCCATCTAGGGACAAAGCGCGTCTTCTATGAACAAGCCCCGAAGCAGGGCGCCTGGGGCCGTCATCGCAATGGCGAAAATTCCCTCCCCATCGGGAGACCCTCCCCCTCCCTGCTGGTCGGCACCGGTCAAGCCCCGAAGCACGAAACGCTGGGATCCTTATCAAAATGGCGAACCGTCTTTCCCATTTGAGCAGGGGCAGACCGTCCCGGCTTTCCTATAGGCCTTCCACGACATGTTCTCGGCACCCCAGAGAAATTCCAAGCACAAAGCCAATCTTCTTAGACAAATAACCCCATGTGTCAAAACAAAACAGTCCCGGCCAGATATGTTTTGAGACCATGTCGTGCAAACCACAGAAAGGGTCTTACATCCTGTGGCCAGAACGCTTCGCCACTGCTCGACCCATCGGGAGGCCGCCCCCCTGCCTGCCCCCCAGCCAGCTCCAACCCGGAACCCGCGAGCAAGGGCCGACCGTCCCGGCCTTCATATAGGCCTACCACGACACGTTCTTAGAACCCATGAATGTTCTGAGAACAAAAACAAAGTTCTTAGAACACAAGCCTAATGCGCTAAAACGCTAAAACAAAAAAGTCCCAGCCAGAAATGTTCTAAGAACATTTCGTGGAAACCACAACAGGTTCGTAGAACATTGTCTGGTAGGGCTATAGGCACGCCGGGGCGCTTCGTCACTGCTTGAAACCCACCCTCCACCTGCGGGGGCCGTCCTTGCACAGCCAGGCCGTGAAGGGTTTGCTCTGCTCCTGTAGGAACGCCTCCAACTCCGACTCGATCTGCTCAGGAGGCCGGCTGGACTGGCGGCCGCGCCAGGGAGCAGGAGGAGTGCATAATGAAGGAGGTTGGTGAAGAGCGACGACGAACGGGAGTTGAAGGAACAACAACGAGGAGCGGGAATAACATGATGAGAACAGGGAGGCGAGGATGAGGAGGGAGAGAAGCTGGATGAGGCGGATCAGCTGGATGATGAAGGTGAGGAAAAGGAAGAGGAAGAGAACAACTTCGCTGAAATTCGCTGGTATCCACACGGCGGCAGCGAATTCAGCCAAGGAGGACCCCGGGCGGCGGCCCACGGAGGACGGCCTCCCGCCTGACTGTGCCCAACTCCCTGGCCAGAGACGCGCAAGGAAGGAGAGGACGAGGAGGAGGAGGACAAAGACATAACACTCGGAGGCCCCCACGACCGTCACTCATGGTTTAGTGATACCTCTGCGATGGTGCATGGATCGAGTAGGGGACCGACTGCAGAATTGGGCTACCCCAGAAACGATATGTCCGTCGAGTCTACGAACCACAACTAGCATAAAAGCTCGTACGCCTACGAGCATTCCACGTACTCTTCGTAGACCCGATGGGACAATCATTTCTGGGGCAAAAACACTCGAATGGATGCAGCGGCCTGTCGTCGTACCCTACGGTTGGACTGCCTGCGGGTGGTAACTGGGCCGTGCCCGCGGCGGCGGCGTCGGGGGAGGGCCCGCTGGTCAAAACTCTAAGAAACCGCTGCGTGCACCACGTCATGAAAGCCCGAAGCTCTTCACCTGGGATCGACCTGAGCAGACTTTGTCGTGTTCACGTTGTTTTCGTTCTCCCTCGTTTTGTTTGAATCTCGCCTTCGCTGCAAAACGGTATCGGGAACGAAAGCGGCCCACGAAATCGCAAAGAACTGTTGAGATCCACCCTTGGCATAAGAAACCGTTGCGTGCAGTACCTCCTGGCCCAAACTTCTTCACTGTAGCGAGAGACGGGGATGGCTGGCGAATGCAGGTGCGAACCTGGAAATTGTAGAAAGCACCCCGCCCCCACTCCACTTTACTTCGACCGATGGGGGCAGCAAAAAAAAGGAGGGGGACGAGACACGGCACAACGCCCTCGAAGGAGGGAGAGGGAGGCACGGGAGTTGCAATCCTCAGGCCTTTTAGGCTTTGTCAGCAAAGAACGCTCAGAAATGTTGATCATTCCGGCCTCGCGGGCCTGGTCAAAACATGGGAAACTTACCTGGTGGCTGCCCCATTTTTGTGGCCTCGTATTCTGCTCCGTGCGTCCGCTCGCTCACTCCTGCACCTACTCCCGTGGAGTGCCTGCGAAGTGGATGGGGGACTGCAGGGGCTTCGGCTGCTGGCTTCGCGCTGTGAAAAGCTGAGATCGAGAGTCCTGGCAGATCGCGAACGTTTGGGCTGTCCCCCGCCGTCGTAGGAAGCGAAAACATCGGTGGCGACATCCCTGGCGCCTGCTCCTCTGGAGTGCCCGCGAACTGGATGGGGGGACTGCGGGGACTTCGGCCGCTGGCTCTGCGCTGTCCCATAGCGGATCGAGCTGACCCCCGGCGGGCTACGAACGTTTGCGCTCTATCCCTGGCCGTCGGGGGAAGCGAAGCCCTCGGTGGCGTCAAATCGCCGGCGCCCTATCCGGCGCCGTCGTCTTGGCCCAGATCCCATTGTTCGTACCAGGGCTAGACCAAACCAATGTTTTCCGTTGTCGCTATGTTTTCGTTTCCCCTCGTTTCTTCATAGTTCCGCCTTTGCTGCGCGGTGAATTCAAAACAAAAGCGGTGCACGAGATCGCCAGCACATCGCTTAGGTTGAGCCCTGGCAGGTCGCGCCCGTCACCCAGGTCGCCCAGGTCACCCACGTGTCAGTATCGTCCCGCTGCGGCTTGTGAAGTTTAGCTCCCCCGCGTAGGCCCCTGGTGCATGATGCTCCTGTCCGTGATATGTCCCTTTGGGCTCGCGCTGCGGTCGATGGCCTTATTGGCATTGTGGACGGGCTGCTTGATCGTGTTCGACGCGAGCGCCCTCTCGCACTCGTCCTCCTCGCTTTCGCATTTCGTGAACTAGAGTACTCGCGAAGACAATGAACGACGTGCTTTGGGAGCTGCAGGACCGGAGGGAGGTACTGGTACACAGGAAAAGGACTGGCATTTTATTTGGCCAAGGGCTACAGTCAAGCGCTAGCTCCCAACGCGCGCGTGGCAGAATGCGGGGACCGAGTGAAGGTCCCGAAAAGACGAACGCGACGGGACCATGAAGGATAGCCCACCAACGAGCCAGACGCTACAGGTACATGGTTCTGCCGCGGCTCGGCACTCGCTGGAGGCTGAGACTTTTGCGGCTAAGCCTGGGGCGAGGGCAGACGATAGTGACTGTCGACTGTCTCTCGTCTCTGCAGGCGGACAAGAGAGAAGGCAGCGGGACGAGGAGGATGACAATGAGGAAGAGGAGGAGGAGGGACGCCCAACTACAGGTCAAATCAAAACGAGCAGATGCACGCGGGACTGCAGGCCCCGCGCCTCCAGCTGCCGCGCGCTCGGCGGGGCCGGGCGCCCAAGTGGCGGCCGGGCACCCCGCAGCGGGTCGCCAGCAGCGGAGAAGGAGGGAGGGGGGGAGGGGGATGTGACGGAGGGAGATTCGGGAGGGGGAGCAAGGGGAGGTGTACTCATGTTCTCGTAAATGTTTGTTCACGCCACCGTAGGCCGCGACGCATCCCAAGAAAGCACATCTGCGTCCCAAGTAACTGTTCTGGCGGGTCCTGGGTCCGAATCGTGCCGCAAGATGCCCAAGCTCAGGATAACCAGCTCTCGCGATTTCTTCATGGTGCCAGATCCCCAGGAGGATGCCCAGGGAGAATGGGGAGCAGGAGGAGGACGACGCGGAGGAAGAGAGGGAGGCAGAGTGCACCAGCGAAGCAGGTGCAGGAGGACGGGACTAGAAGAAGAACAAAAACACATAAACATAATCTGTTGGCGCTCCGCGCGGATTTCTTGGATTCGCGCTGGACCCCCCTCCCTGGCGCGCAGAGCGCGCCGGGGGCGGCGCCGGGGGCGCCGCCTGGGGGTCCTCAGGCGCGGATCCAGGAAATCCGAGCGGAGCGCCAAAAGTCTGTGTCTGTGTGTTTTTGTTTCTCCCTCGAGGGGACGGATGAGGGCACCTGGCTGGTTTCAGGGATGGACAGACCTCCCTTTAGTAAAACGTGGTTTAGTGAAAACGACCTGAGGCCCAAACCTGGCGGGCGCAAGCCTGGAAAACAACGGCCGCGGCGCCCTCTCGAGAACCGAAAACGGACAATTCACTAATCGACGTGTCACTGTTGCGGGTTCTGTCCACCTGGCTGGTTCCAGACACTCGGAGCCAAAAGGCGCGGCCACCCCTCGGGGGCGCCTCGTTGTGCGCCCGCCGGCCCTCCGCCGGCCCTCCGCCGGCCGAGGCTGCCTCGTGTTGTGCTGCCGCGGGCGCTCTCGCCGCGCCCCGCCGCCGAGGAGGGCGTCGCGCGACGGCTTCGAGCCTCGAGGGCGCTGCCCTGCCTGGAACGCCTCCTCCTCCTCCTCCTCCTCCTCCTCCTCCTCCTCCTCCTCCTCCTCCTCCTCCTCCTCCTCCTCCCCCTCGTCCTCCTCGTCCTCGTCCTCGTCCTCGTCCTCGTCCTCGTCCTCGTCCTCCTCGTCCTCGGCAGGGCGGCGCAAGCAGGGAGCAGGGCGCGAGGGCGGGGGGCGAGCGGGCGGAGGAGACGGAGCGAGGGCGAGACGAAGGCCGCGTGCGGTACAGGAGCAGCAGGGGCTCGACCACGAGACGGCTTCCACAGAAGGCCAAGCCCTGGGACCCCACGAGGTCCGCCGGCTTCTGGGGTGGGAACGTCAGGCCGTCCACGGCAAAGCCAGCGAAGCCCGAAAAATCCAGGGCACCCTGGAGGCAAGCAGGGTTGAGGGGCAACGAGAGCTGGGGACTGGCATAGGGGGGGATGCATCCTCCTGGAATCGGCGATACATCGCCGAAAGATCGGCGATAGGCCCCCGATAGTGAATCCGCACCTTCTTGTGCAGGTTGGGGCTATCGGGCCCCTATCGGCGATCAATGGGCGATTCGGGGTCGATGCATCCCCCCCTATGCTTAAGTCGGGCCTGTCCCTATACATGGGGAAATATTTAATAATAGTAAAACAATAGTCCGAAACCCTGCTCTTCTTTGGTTTTGTTTTTTTTACTAGCTTTGAACATTGGTGGCGCATGTAGAATATTTTGGGGGTATGTTTGGGGTATCGTTGGAGTATTTTGCATTTTTCGCAAAAAAAAATCCGCCTGTAAGGGGACACGCCCGACCTAACCCTGTGCCCATCCCCCCTATCGCTGCCCCCGAAAGGTGCTTCTCGGCATGGGTTCCCGCTGCACCCCGCGCTCGCCCGCGCGCGAGCTGCGCGCCCGGCGGGCCGGCCTCGGCCCCGCGACCGCGGCCGCGGTCGGGGGGCGCCGCCATGGCACGAAGGGGATCAACCACCGGCAGTTGAACTGCAAGGCGGCCACCTTCAGGGTAGTTGAGGGCCACGAGACCTACTCCGAGCATCTTGAGAAGCGTCGGGGGGGCACCACCCCCGCCGAACAGCCCCACGTCGACCCCCGTCGCGGGTAACCACCGCGCGCCGACGGCGCTCTGACCCCCGCCGCGGCGCGACGACGAGCCGAGGTTGACCGCCGTCGGGGGGGGGTACCCCCCCAGGCTTATCAAGAAACCCAGAGTACTCACCTTAGCACCTTGGTCGAGACTTGCGGGCAAGTACGCCGAGAGCACACGAGCACAGAGGAAAACACGGGCACGACCAGGCACGGCTCAAGAACGGGCTGGGCACAGCGTCCGACACGAAGGACGTCGTAGTGGAGGTACCGGTGGACAACGGCCGCGCCGCCCACGACGACCACTACTATGACGCCTGTGACGGGCACGGCGAGTACAACTGTACTACGGGGGCCGCCAGCAGCGCTTTGAGCGCCACCAGCCGCGCTCCGTGGGCCACCAGCAGAGCTTCGATGCACAGGCGGCCGAGCGTCTGGGACCCGCACCTGGGCCAGGTGTGCGAGCACGAGGAGGGCATCCGAGCTCCGCAGCGAGGACCAGCGGAGCTCCGACGGCCAGCAGAACTACCAGAAGCTCCAGCAGAACTTCGAGGCCAACCAGCCGAACCGCGCGCAGCGAACAGGTCACCGATTACGGCCCCCATCCGCTGTAAAACAATAGCCACAGAGCTTCGGGAGTCACAGGCAGAACAGGGAGACCCGTCAGCTGAGCTCAGAGAGCCGCATGCAGGGCTACGAGGGCCACAGACATATTACAGCCACCACCAGAGCTAGCAGGACCACCAGCAGACCTTCGAGAACCACGAGCTGAACTACGAGGATCAAAGGCACATCTACGAGAGCCACCTCCAGAGCTACGAGCACCAAGCAGGGCTACGAGGACCACCAGCTGAGCCACGAGGGCCAAAAGATCACAGGTGTGCCAGGAGGGCCAGCAGCCGAGCTGCGAGAACCAGACGCAGAACTGCGAAGCGGCCGAGCCACTGGGGAGGCACCAGCTGCGCCACGAGAGCCACCTGAGGAGGCACCAGCGCCACCTGCTCAGCCACGAGAGCCACCGGAGGAGCTGCCAGAGCCACAGGCTGACCCACGAGACACGAGAACCTCCACCTCAACGACGATGGCCGCCAGCCGAACAACGAGGACCACGAGCCGGGCTGCAGGGGCCGCGCGCATGGCTGCGAGGAGGACCACGGGCCGAGCTGCGAGGGCCGCCCGCCCGAGCCGCGGGGGCCTCGCGAGCAGAGCTGCGCGGAGCAGAGTCGAGCTGCGAGAGCCTCCGGCAGCTGCAAGAGTTGTTCGAGCAGAACTGCGAGAGCTTCCAGCAGAACTGCGCGGACCACGCAAGGAGCTGCGAGGGCAACGAGCTCAGCTGCGAGGGCCGCAAAAGCACAGCCCCGAGAGCCACCAGCCGAGCTACGAGAGCGAACTGCCAGCAGGGCTACGAGAGCTAACTGGAGCCACCCGCCGTGCTGTGTTAGAGCCACGAGCGGAGCTACCAGGGCCGCAGGCTGACCTACGGAGGAACCTCTGGCAGAGCTGCGGGGGCCGCCAGCGGAACAGCGAGAACCACAAGCTGGGCTACGAGGGCCACCGGCGGACCTCCGAGCACCACGAGCTGAGCCAAGAGGAGCGCGAGCTGAGCTCAGAGGACCACAGGCAGAGCCACGAGAGCGAGCTGCGAGGACCGCGGGCTGAGCTAATGTGGGGAGCCCACAAAGGACGTACGCGCCCAGCTATGTACATGAACACGGCCTCTTGACCCGCGAGACCTGCCGCGCGATACGAACATTCGCGCAATGCGAACTCTCGAAACCAGCGTGGATTCATGTACATGTACGTCCTTCTTTCGCTCCTGATAATAGGGCCACAAGCAGGGCCACGGGGATCACCGGCGGAGCTGCGAGGTCCATGCGAGGGCAGCCACGTACGCCTCGCGGGGCGGAAAGGAAGGCTTGCCCTTCGCGGCCAAGAGGGGGCCCCTGGACCCTTTGACGCACGTGCCGAGCGATGGGTATACCGAAGTGGAACAAACCCGATTCGCGTCAAGACAGATAACCTGGAGATCGACTGCAAATACTCTAAGCGAAGGATCGGCAAGACGTACCAAGATTGGGCCCAATCTCTCGGGCACTACACATCGAAACATAACGACTACGTGTTCGAATAGTTGTGCGATGTCAAATCCGCAACGGCCAGCCTGGCCTGGGGCTACTCAATTCTTCCTCAAAATCTTTCCGCACGGAGCACTGTTCGACGCGATGTTCGCCGAGACGGCGTAGAACATAACACGAACGTGACCACAACGGCGAGACCGGCCGGACTGAAGCCAGATACAGCACGATTTCTGGTACTACGTCATCAGCGTTCAGGCAAGGTACTCGGTGCACAACGTCACCAGCAAGGTACACCGTCTACGGTACGTACATCTCTCCTGCCTGTGCGGCCCCGCCGCTAGTCAACCTCCCCTCGTTCCTCGATGACCCAGGAGGGACCCTCGTTCCTCGATGTCCCTTGCCTCCCCTCTCCCCCTCTCCGGAAAAGGGTGGGCCCGACCCGTCGTCGTCGTCGTCGTCGTCGTCGTCGTCGTCGTCGTCGTCGTCGTCGTCGTCGTCGTCGTCGTCGTCGTCGTCGTCGTCGTCGAGGGGCGTGTGTGTCTGGCGTCGTCGGAGCTTGCGTCGTCGTCGTCGGCGTCGGCGTCGTCGACGTCGTCGTCTTTTTGCCGCCGCGGGCGCTCGCGGCGGGCGCGGGGCATGGCTCCCGAGGGGAGGCGCGCGATCGCGAAAGGCGGGAGAGCCGCTGGCGAGGCGGGAGCCCCTTCGCGGGAGGCCCAGAACGGCCGCTCTCGCGGCAAAACCGCGCGGGCTCCGCAC